GCCCATGCGTGCAGGATCGGTGGAACGCGCCATATATAAAAGATGTGGACATTACATATCATGCTACTATTAAGCAAAATTCCTTGCTTCCACCCAAAAGCAATAAGTGCCCTTCTTACTTGGTATAATCTCTTAATATAATTATTGCAAAACCAACCTTTTGGATAAATTCAATAAATAAATTAGAAATCTTTGAAAAGATTTTTTTTTCCTTCCTTATATGCCACTAAGGAGGTTTAAATCTCAAATTTCATAGATACCATCCAATCACTTTATCATCCATCCTACTCTTGAAGCTCCAAACTGCCACTTGATGCCCAAAGCTTCAATTCTTCTTCCTATAAGTTTACTACTTAATTTTTTTTAAATCTTAATTTTTTATAAATTATAATTTTTTATAAATTATAATTTTTTTTCTACAAAAATTTGTGCACCTATCTTTAAATCCACTAAGAATATTTCTACCAAATTTGACATTAAATATACATATTAATAATTAGTTATCCTAAATCCTAATTCTCTTCTACAAACTTGATTTTTCTAACAACTATGACATTTTTTACTAATATAATTCACTTACCTATATTCAAAAGAAAATTTCATTAACCTTTATTTTAATCTATAATTTAATTAATTAATTAATTAATTTTAATATCTAATCTTTTTTAAAAAATAAAAATAAAAAATAAATTAAGAACTAATATATTTTATAGTTTTTATCTAGTTTTTATATATTGTATACAAATACAATACAATAGTGCAATAATTAAAAACATTGTATAAAATACTAGGTGATAAATATCTCATATCCAATGTAATGAGTAGATATATTCACTAGATGTTTTAAGTGTCATATATCCAATGTATTTGCTGGATATTTTGAATATCTTATATCTAGTATATTATGTGGATATTTTGATGTCAACAAAACTCATTATAATTATTCCATATCCAATATTTTAAGTAAATATTTCAAGTATTTCATATCTAATAAGTTGAATAGATGTTTTAAATATTTCATACTTTGTTAGTTGAGTAGATGTTTCAATTATTCCAAATTTAATTTTTTGAATAGGTATCTTAAGTATATTATATTTAATATATTAAATAATTTTTTAAGGTCAAGGGAGCATATTACAATATTTTAGGTCCAATTTACAATTTAGTACAATGTTTAAAGCATATACAGTGGCATAAATAATAGATTAATATTATCAAATGTATATTTTGTATCTTTTTTGTATAGCTATTTTAAATAAAAAGAAAGAAGCAAAAATAAAATATTATAAAAAATAAAATATAATAATATATTTGATATTATTTAAAATTAAATTATATTATAATTATTATTTAAAGCATTATACTTTAATTTTATTAGAATATGAAAGATTTCAAATTGTAAAAAAAGAGACATTATTTAATAGAAAGAAAAAGAAGTTGATACATGCATTTTTTCAGTGTGTGCAATAACAACTTACACTTCATTAATGATGTTGTCATTGTTGACATTCTATTTGCAAATTTATTTTATCATTCTAAAAATGATACAAAATGCCTTAGAATTGTTTAAATTATATGATTTGATTTCAAATATTTCGTCTCAATCATTATTTTTGATTGTGTATCAATTAAATTTTAGTTGACTTATTGTTTACTAAATGATTGTAGTGATTGACCATTATTTTACTTGTATGAAAAATACCAAATTGATTGTTGAGCATATCCATAATAAAAGCTTGTCAACAAATAATCTTCTTATTTCTTTTAAAAACCTTATCAATATGTGGTATCTCTTACTATTATGTAATTTATAATTTACTTGGTATCAAGGATATAAATAATAAATAATTAAAATATCAATATACTCTTATATCATTCAAAGATAGTATATTATTAAAATTAGAATAGCTAATACTAAAAATAAAAAACTAGAAACTCTTAAAATAAGAATAAAAATAAAAAAGATGTGAATCAAAGTGAAGAAGGTTTTATTCTTGCTTCTATATATAATATCTAATTAAAAGCTATGTAACAACATTCTATAGGAGTTCTAACATATTTCTTACAAGACAAGTTTTTCTTGTACAACATATGACAAACTTGTAGGCCAAGTTTTCAACTTACAAATTATCTACAAAATACATAAAAAATCAAATGTACATTAATAAAGATTATAAATAGCTTTTCTATAAGTTATTATTAAGTTAACTTTTGTTTAATTTCTTTAATATATATATATATATATATATGTGACATTATCCTCTCTTCTAGAGACAAGTTCTATCAAAAACAATAAACACCTATTAAAGAAGTCTAAAATGTAATAAATTCTATTTTCCACATATTCAAATCTTTATTCTCTTTGAAAGTAATTAATAGATATTTTTTATCCATTAATATTATTTTAAAATAAAAATATATCATTTAATTATTTGATCATTATTGAAGTTTTTATAATTTTTTTAAAAATAAAATATTTAAAATATTATGAAGGATGCTTCTTATCTCTAATAATATTATCAAATTTTGTAAGTCTCTTTTTAGGTTGTAAT